GTCTCAGGATTTCACAGCCAAGTCTGAACCCACGTCTCTTCCCCAAGGGAATTTTAGTCATCATATATTCTATTGCCTGCAATTATGCAAATGACGTTCAGGTCCAGAATGTTAAATAATTTACCTGGCATGAATAGAACTACTTAGTCATGCAGATCCAGGTCTCCTGATTATCAGTCCAGAACTCTTTCTACTACACTACTCATTCACATAGGTAGGTGTTATGAGTCATGTTCAGAACTTACAAATTGTATGGGTCAGATCTGTGTTCTAAGGGTATATCTCAAATCCATTCAATTCATAGCACTAATTTGGGTGCAGGGCTGTGTTGGTAATTTAGAGTGTGGGTTTAATTGACATGACGTATTACTTTAAAGAGGTATTTGCAAGCACATTGGAGAGCCTTCAACCAAACGAAGTGGTGAAGTTCCAGCACTTGAGATATATAAAGGAAGTAAAAGGTAAGGTGTGCTGTAGGCACACCCTGACTAGGCAAGACTTCTGAGGTCTCTTTAGCCTTCTCTGTTATAAAATGAGTGGTTTCACTGCCAACTCCTGCTAAGATCTCCGCTTCCTCAAGTATACTTTCTGCTAAAGTGAAGTGACACTTTATACTACGAAATTGCAGGTGTTTGGCATGGTAAGAGAATCTCATTTGTTCTTTTAAAACAGAACATACCAGCTTCAAGTTGAAAAGTAAGGTAAATATTTTTTTTAGTTCCTAGTCAAGTGTCTTAGGTTGGGTTCTCTAGAGAAGCAAAACCAATAAAGTGTATAAATATATATAGAGAGAGATTATATCAAGGAAACAGCTCACGCAGTTGTACAGGCTAGAACATCCCAAGTCTGTGGGTCAGGGTAGAGGCCTCTCCCAAGTCACACAGCTGCAGAAGCTGGCAAGCCCAAGATCAGAAGGTCGGAGAGCAGGGCTCCCACTCACAGGCTGTGTAGATCGACGAATCCCAGGTTCGGCAGATAAGCTGACAGCTCAAGTCCCAAGAATGGGAGATGAGACGACAGGAAGCAGCCACAGGATCCAGAGAGAGGAAAAAGCCAGAACGTCTGCTTATATACAGGTTCGGGCCACACCCCCAAGGAGACTCCCTTTCATCTGATTGGCTACTCACAGTATATTCAGTCATGGGAGTGATTACATTAAAACACGGAGAATCATGGCCCAGCCGAGTTGACACACAATCTTAACCATCACAGCAAGTTTTGAGATGATTTTCAGATAATTTTGAACAAGTTTGTGAGGATTAGTAACTACTGTTAGTAACTGCCAGCTGCCATTTCTCATTTTGAATCTTGACTAGACCCTAAGTTAATGTATGCTTGTTTCCCCAACCCTCCTCTCCAGGGGATTTAGTAAAGCTTCCATTTAAATGTTAGAGGGAAGACTCAAAGGCTTGTTAGGGTATCAGTGCGGATAGAGAATGAGAAATGGCGGCCCCAACGTCCTCTAGTGAAGAACTGCCTTATACCTGACTCAGATTGCTGGAGAAGGGAGAAGGCTCTGTGCATTCTGGGGAGAGAGGTGGCAGTTGCCTCTGAAAGCCAGTAGGGGTGGAGAACCACATGTTGGGGAGTGGGGTGTGTGTGCACCTTGTCTACCTCTTCCTGGTCACCGATGTTACACCTCTCTATCAGTGGTTCTCAGTGGGGAGAGGGACACAAGACTGCCCCCGCCCCTGGGACATTTGGCAATGTCTGGAGACATATTTGGTTGTCACAGCTGGGGGAAGGAATGCTACTGGCATCTAGTGGTCAAGGCCAGGATGCCACTAAACACTGATAATGCATGGGTAGCTCCACAACAAAGAATTGTCTGGCCTAAAATGTCAGCGGTGCTGAGGTTCAGAAGCCTGCTCTAACCCAGCTCTGTATTATCCATTAAATTCCTCAGTCAACCTGCTGAAGATGCTGCTAATAGGATATGCTTTGGATTTTGGTAGCCTGCTATGAGAGAAGAAAAAGATTCTACTCTTGACATTTTTTGATACCTGAAAAATGCAGCGGTACCATTTTAATCCAGTTGCAGTATTTCTGGAGTCATCATTTACCGCCCTGTTACTTCACTCTTTCTGTTCTGGAGTCATCATTCACCGCCCTGTTACTTCACTCTGTCTGTTCTGGAGTCATCATTCACCGCCCTGTTACTTCACTCTGTCTGTTCTGGAGTCATCATTCACCGCTCTGTTACTTCACTCTGTCTGCGTCCTTAGAAGTAGCACTTAGCAGTTGTCCTCTGGTGTTTTTCTTCGACTCTGAGCCGTTCACTTGCTTAAGGAAGAACTGTGTGTTCAGCAGAAGATTTATGGCAAAAAGCAGTTCTGTAATGTTATTCATAAATCTGTTGTAATGTTTTTGTAGCCCAAAGGGTTCACCTAATATGTTATCTAACTGCCTTTTCCGGCAAATAATTAACCAATTTCCTCTTGTTCTGACCTCAGTAGAATCTAGACTATTTAGGAGAAAAATCCATAAACATTAATAATTAATTGCTTTAGAATATTGTGTCACTTGTGTATCCATCTGGGCACCAATTTAAAGGACCGCTGCCATCCAGTGTTTCACTGTTCATCATTGTGGCCTTCCTTTTAAACTAAACATTTTGTGATTAACCCGGTTTTTAACAACGCACAGCATTACCTAACACTGCAGAGAAACAGCCGTGTGAATCTGGTGTGAGCTGGTCACAGCGTGTTGTCTCACCCCTCGCTTGCCTGCACTTTTCTTGACATGAATATTTCTTGGATGAATGGGTTTTAAGGTTACAAAGAAACGTATTCATCTGCATTGCTGGATTTACAAGGATTTTTGCACGTCAGAAGCATGGGCTGCATGAGTGCCATGTTAGTCATTTAGCCCTGAACGCAGTTTTCTCAGGAAAAAATAAAATAAACAGAATTGTCTAAGCAACAAGCTGCTGTTGGATTTGCTAGCAACAAGCTTTGTGATCAGACAATGGCATTGTACCACCCTTTAACAAACAGAACGCATTCACGTGAGCAGGCGACATTCAGGCAGAACACGAGAATATTCTTCTCAGCCTTGCAGCTGGGGTTTAGGGGAAGCCTTTCTCTCTTTCTTTCTTCCTTCTCTTTGGAATTTGCTTCTAGGTTTTGTCTTTTTTAGAAAGGCTTTTAAGCTTTCTTGGGCTTAGAAAAATATGGTTGTTGATACATGGGTGTCAGTTTCCCCCGTATATGTATGTGTATGTCTCTCTTTATTAGCATGTTTTAACCCAGAATTAAAATTGAAGTCTAGATTTGTTTATAAAAGGTAACTTTTTATCCTCAAATTTTGGGGTAATTAAATGTTATCCACAAAATTTAGAGCTTGGGGTATATGCCTTTAAAGTGAAAATTTTTCTTGAAACATCAGCTCTTCCAAACACTTCTTTAGGTACACACGCAAAACATCTTAGTTTATAATAGATTAATTTGGTAATTTGGGTGCAAACTGCATTTACCTTTATTCTCCCACGAAAGGTCTCTGAAATAATATTTTTTCTCCTGAAGATAAATGCCAAATTAATGGGTTCTTTGGTCAGGGCCTTTCCATTAGCCAAGCATAGGAGAAGTTGAGGAACCGTTATTGAAGTCAGATGAAAATATCTCTTCAGCACATTTATGGAAAACATCTTGTAATCTGTAACAGACCTTCTGAGAGGCATCAGGTTATAAAGATGTCTTGGACAAGATCATCTACTGACCTGAAGCCTACCTGGGACCCTCTGTGATAAGTACTGGAAAAGCTGCTTCTGACAGATAAAAATGCTTTATGGGACTGTGTCCACGTTTTTATTTTTCCCAATTGATTTGTTCAGCCTGCTTAGGCACTATTTTAAACAATTGCACAGATTTACTAAGGGACGTGAAAGAAGCAATGATCATCCTAGGGAATTGGAAGCCTCCAGCCGCGATGTGCTAAAATTGCTTAGGGGAACCAAGAAACAAACTACAGCCCCTCTTCTCCTTATCGGTGCTTCCAGATCTAAGCCAAGCAAGTTATAACCCCTCCAGGAAGTGTGATCTGACCTGCCTAACTATGCAGTGACCGTATCTAAGGAGGGATGTTTCTTTTTTATCCTGCTTCCTGTGTCATCTTTAAAAATACAAATCCATTTATGGCATACTCCTGCTCAAAACCCATTAAAAGCTTCTCAGTGCTTTTGGGCTAAAGACCAGAGTTCTTTCCATGGCCTGAAAAGTTTTGCATCTTCTGGCTCCTGCCTGCTTCAGATTTGCTTTGGGTGGCTCTTGCCCCTGCCGCTTGCATGCTGCGCTTCCTCAGTTCCTCCAAAGCTCCGTTCTCTCTCCTGCCTCAGGGTCTTCACTTTCACATGGATGTTCTCTGTCTGCCACACTCCACTTGTATTCATGTTTGTTTGAATGGACTTTCCCCAAGGAAGCCTGGCTTAGTGTCTCTTGTTAAACAGTTCAGTGGTATGTGCACATCTTCTTCTTAGCCCTTATCACACTTTTAATTGCTTATGCCATCTTTGGTTTTCTTCCTTGCCAGACTTAGTATGTTCCACGAAGGCAAAGAGTTGGCCTTATTCACTGCTGTATTCTAAATGGCTAGCCAGTGCCTGACACATGTGAGCAGTCAGTACATGCTTATGAGAAAATGTGCATGCATTCCCTCCCTCTCACATGCATATATAAAAGACATTTTAGAGTATACACACACATGCACACACATATACACATGTTCATTGATTTGTAAGTGTGTATGTATGGAGTTTTTTTATGTTTTACACTTGAGTAAGACTTGTCAGTGGTGACAAGGATCTGCCTTGTATCTAGAAATTAATTGGTGTTCGTATTTGAGAGCATGTATATGTGTGTAGCATGAATTCTGCTCTGTTATTTTGTTCGATGTCCACCAGTGTTCAGAATGTACCACGTCAGATGGTAGTCTGGCTCAGAGTCCTGTTCCTCTCTTTTGTATCTGGTCTTCTGACTGGGTCCTGTCCATCACTCCTGTCCAAGGTAAAGAAACTGCTGCAATGAAAGCTGACCTCCTTAGGGCCCGGAATATGAAAAGGTACATTAACCAACTGACTGTGGCAAAGAAGCAGTGTGAGAAGAGAATCAGAATCCTGGGAGGCCCTGCCTACGACCAGCAAGAGGATGGGGCCTTGGATGAGGGGGAAGGGCCTCAAAGCCAAAAGGTAGGACTTTGTAGTTTTTTGTTTTGACCATTTCATGTTTATTATGAACACTCATGTAACCACATATACAGTTTTGACTTAAGACACATGTTCCAAACTCCAGACTCACATATTTGCTTCTATGAGTCAAAGAGCTATCTTAATTTGTGTTTCTGACTTCTGTGAATGGTGGTCGGTGTGATGGGCAGGAGTGGGGTGTGTATGTGTGTGTGTGTGTATATGTGTGTGTGCACATGTGTGTGTATTTATCCACTCCTTTTACCCTCTCCCCCACCCCTCCCAGTTCCATAGGGGCATAGTTGCAAGGCACAAGTCAAGTCATCCATTACCATCTGAAGTAGAAAATATTTAATATAAGTTGTTTTACTTAACTCTCACAATAATACTATGAAATATGTGCTTGATATTTCTGTTTGTTAGTGAAGAAACAGAATCAAGTTAAGTAACTTGACTGAGGCCGCATAGGAAGAGGCAGGACTAGATACAAACTTGGATCTGGTTGATTCTCAAATTTGACTGCTTTGCACTGAACTATAACGTGTCAGTGACTGTTTTTGTACATTAGAACTCTGGACTGTGTGTTGATACCAAGTCCTGAAATCACGGAACTTAGGAAAGTGTTTCAGCCCTGCCTCAATACCAGTCCTTATTCTCAAGGATGAAGCTTGTCTTCCAAGACCTGGAGCATGCTAGCATTGAAGGAAATAGCCTAATACTCCCTGAGGTGCTTGACTTCACCACCTGGGAACAAGAACTTCAAGGCACACTCCACCGAAATCCCTCTTTTGTAAAGTGGCACTTATCTGCAAAGAAGCCAACATCAGTATATTTGAACCCTGGCCAAGGTCTCTGTCATCACCTGCTCTGATTTTTAATCCCTCATCTCTTCCTTTTTACTTCTTTACTTGAGTTCAGACGCTTATCTGAGACACTGTCTCCCTCCCTGTTCCAGTGACGAGTTTTTACCTCTCGATTGTTCCCAACCCCAGCACAGGTCAGAGTGTTTCTCCAGGGTCTTACACAAGTGGTACACGTGTAGCCCAAAGGAGCTCTTGTTTTATAGAGGGGCTCCCTGACCACGGGAATTGTGATTATTTTGCTATTCGCAAATCTACCTTTCTGAGAGTTTGACTTGGTGGCCCCAAATGACAATGTTATCTTTTGGTGAACTTGTAGAGAGTGGATTTCACAGGTTGAATATTTTCCCTCTTCCTCCTTTTCCTCAGCCTCTGGCCTGTTAAATAAATCTCTTTCTCTCTTTTTTTGCCCCCAAGGATGAGGTTCTCTTCTTGTGTCCACACATTCATTGAGGACCCACTATCTATCAGGTCCAGTGCTAGATACTAGATACAAAATGGGTAAGATAGAATCCCTGCTGTCAAAGAGCCACATATAATTACATAATTAAGAGGTAACTGTTTCAGTGGAGGTGTGAGATCTGTATCTAGAAGAGGCATCTAATGGCTGGCTACCTAATCAAGAGAACCTATCAAGTGATGTGCTTTTAGATGAACACCTGGAGAAAGATAAAGGCCAGCTCATTTTAGGAGAATTGAATGTGATTTCAGTACAGGTTATCTGGTAGTGTCTACTATAAGTAACTTAATCCAGTGGTAGCTCCATTTCTGATTCTTTCCTCCTAGCTACTGAGGAGAAGAGAAACCCATTTCTGTTGCAACAGTTTATTTTCATAGTAAAATCATTCCCTCTAGTCATCATATTGGAAGGCTCAGATAATATTATAAACCCATTGTCGTCGAGTTGATTCTGACTCGTAGTGACCCTGTAGGGCAGAGTAGAACTGCCCCATAGAGTTTCCAGAGAGCAGCTGGTGGATTCAAACTGGTGGCCTTTTGGTTAGCAGCCAAGCTCTTTTTTTTTTCTTTTTTATTGTGCTTTAAAAGAAAGTTTACAGTTCAAGTTAGTTTCTCATGCAAACATTTATACACACATTGTTATGTGACCCTGTTTGTTCTCCCTATACTGTGACATCACACTCCTCCTTTCCACCCTGAATTTCCCATGTCCATTCAACTAGCTCCTGTCCCTCTGCCTTCTCATCTCACCTCTGGACAGGAGCTGCCCATTTAGTCTCATGTATCTACTTGAGCTAAGAAGCACACTTTTCACGAGTAACATTTTAAGTCTTATAGTCCAATCTAATCTTTGCCTGAAGAGTTGGCTTCGGGAATGGTTTTAGTTCTGGGTTAACAGAGAGTCTGGGGGCCTTGTCTTTCGGAGTCCCTGCAGTCTCTGTCAGGCCATTAAGTCTGGTCTTTTTGCTAGAATTTGAGTTCTGCACCCCACTTTTCTCCTGCTCAGTCAGGGACTCTGTTGTGTTCCCTGTAAGGAGGGTCATTGGTGGTAGCCGGGCACCATCTAGTTCTTCTGGTCTCAGGCTGATGGAGTCTCTGGTTTATGTGGCCCTTTCTGTCTCTTGGGC